AATAATATTGCATGAGACGGCTTCTCTGTTGATCTGACTTTTCTTTTCTGTCTTTTTTATTGGCGCTTGGTATGCTTATGCCATTCACCAATATAAAAATCCCAATACAAATTGAGATGCAATGCATCGTTGGAAGCCATAGAGTTTACTATAAAAGGAAGAGAAGCCAAACAACTAATTTGTGTGCAAACCAGACCAATCTTTCAATTACCTTTTACTCTTTCCCACATTACAAAAACTTAGAGATATGGAAAAGGGTCAGGATCTTGACCAAAACCATGCCCATTCTGCTGGATCTTGCGCTGAGAAGAAGCTCAGGCTTTTTGGGTTTGAGCTGAGCCCAAGCAAGAATGAGGACAGCTCCATCAAAGGCTCTGCAGAAGGAGATGAGAGTGTAAATTCATCGAACTCCATTTCCTATGGAAGGGAGGTTCATATGAAGAAACCTGCCAGCAATGAGAAAAGCTCAACCAGTGAAGCATATGACAAGAAGTTTGAGTGCCAATATTGCTTCAAGGAATTTGCAAACTCACAAACATTGGGAGGTCATCATAAGGTGCACAAAAAGGAGAGGATGAAGAAGAAGAGGCTTCAGCTTCAAGCCATTTCGTCAACAAAGCCTCTTTAACCTATATCTATTTGGCCTTACATTGTTTCATACAACTTGGAAGTGTACATATCCACCATTCTAGGCACATCATTCTCCAAACACTTTCTACCCCCCTCCCCCCCNNNNGTTCCTTCATGCATTCATATCATACATGAAAAATTGTTTTATGTAAAAATATTGACTAAGTATGAAAATTGGGTTTTTGGAATAATCATTTTCTGAAGATAATTTTTGGCGGCTTTTATTCCTCACACATCAAATAAGAAAACTTGATTTTATGGGAATTTAGTATGAAGTATATATTGACTTAATGAGCCATCATTTTTATCCTAAATCGTATTTTACACTAAAACCGATTTTTCATATTTTGATTTGGTGGGAATTTGATTTTCTAGTATTTTTATTTGAATCCAAATGGGGGGTACTTCCTTATTTACATTGTAAACTTAAGTAAATAGAGTAATATAAAAATAAATAAAAGTAAAATGACAAAGACATTTACTTAAATGTTGAAAGTGGAAATAAGGTAATATGTACACTGTTACCATTGGGTCAGAAGGGTCAATAAGATAATCTGTACACTGTTACCATTGGGTCAGAAGGGTCAATAAGATAATCTGTACACTGTTACCATTGGGTCAGAAGGGTCAATAAGATAATCTGTACACTGTTACCATTGGGTCAGAAGGGTCAATAAGATAATCTGTACACTGTTACCATTGGGTCAGAAGGGTCAATAAGATAATCTGTACACTGTTACCATTGGGTCAGAAGGGTCAATAAGATAATCTGTACACTGTTACCATTGGGTCAGAAGGGTCAATAAGATAATCTGTACACTGTTACCATTGGGTCAGAAGGGTCAATAAGATAATCTGTACACTGTTACCATTGGGTCAGAAGGGTCAATAAGATAATCTGTACACTGTTACCATTGGGTCAGAAGGGTCAATAAGATAATCTGTACACTGTTACCATTGGGTCAGAAGGGTCAATAAGATAATCTGTACACTGTTACCATTGGGTCAGAAGGGTCATATGACCCTCCTAGGCCTTCATTCGCTCCGCCCCTGTGTATGAGCATGATTGGTAAATCGTAGTGTACGTCTGGACCCAAAGCCCAAAAGAAAAAAAAAGCTTGATTTTGTCTATACTTGATCCGAAAGGGATCTTAGGTCCGGTCCACCATCATAATCGTACTTGTTCCAAACTTCCAAGTTCCCCATTTCCTCTCTCTCTCTCTCTCTTCTGCAACTCAGGAGCTGATCTTTCTCTTCGAATCAGAAGGTACCCTTCTTCTTCTTTTTCGCCTCCAAAAATCAAACTAAACTTTCAATGTTTTTTTTATCGATTTTTTAAATTTATATTTCTGTGCAGGAAATTGGAGTGCTTTTTGATTCATTTCTATGTGAGTATCTCTGGGTTTATTAATCTTTGTGGGTTTTCCCATTTGCTTTTTCACATGAATGTTAGACATGGAGAAATTGAAATGTCGGCACGAACATTGTGTATCAAGGGGTCAAAACTCCAAATTTTCATATTAATTTTCTCTTTCTCTTTGGATTGAAACCTAAAGCTTTTCTCTTTTTTGCTCATCGATCTTTTTACTTTCTCTACTAAGGGCGGATGAAGAACTCGTTGATCAGAATAAGTATCTTGAGGAGTCTTGCCAGCCTAAATGTGTGAAGCCTCTGATTGAATATCAGGTAATGAAATTTATTTCCTAGGTTAATTTTAGATGCTGTTAATATGAACTTACAATTGGATCAGATTTTTTTTTAAATCTAATTACTAGAGAGAGAGTCGTATCAACTTATTGGTCTTTGTTGTACCTGTGTCCTTTATCCATATCCATGCTTCCTACTAGAGAGGTAAAGGGAATTACAACCTAGAAAAGCTCCCAAAATTAGTTCTCCTATGAAATCTTGGAAGTTGGAACCATATATTTGCATGGTCCGACAAGTTAGAAATGCGTTCTCTATGTTTTTCCATAAGAAGAAGCAATTTGGGAACCATATATATATCATCAAATGTGAAATTTAGTAATATCAAGTTATTAAGTTGGATATGCCGTGCAGAACGTTATAGAGAGTAATTGTACAAAGGTTATAGCACAAAATAAGAGTATGAGAAGATCAGGATTCAGGATGTCATACCAAAGTGATTAAGCAAGCTCTTTTGACATATTTTAATGGGATTGTTGGGTTGGCCTACAAGGTTCATAACTACTACTCTTTAGTATCGGCCGCTCGCCTAGACAACATCAAGATTCGGCTCTCTACCTTTACTTTCTTGGTTTACTCCAAGATTTCCCACTTGACCATATACTTACTGGAATTATAGAACAGGCTAAGAACAGGGAAAAATTATAGAACATATACTTACTTGGGGTTTTTATTATTATTATTTATTTTCGAGGAAGTGTTACACAGAGTATGAAGTCTCAATCAAAATCTGTTGCACTTGAATCTGTTGAAATTTGGACTTGCTATGGAAAACAAATCTTACACCGTAGGTACTTATTCTGTTGTATGTAGCTCTATGAATATAATGCCATTTCCAATACCACAGTTATGTATTAAATGCAGCAGTTTAAAACCAGCAGAATGACTCCTAACATCGCAAACTGTTGGGTCTCAATCGAATTTCCCCCACTTGAACTATTGTGCTAGATTTAATAAACTGCTTGAATCTTTTTACTTACAAAAGAGTAGATGATTAGGCAGCTACTTCTGCTGAGCATCTTGTTATAGTTCAACCTTAAAAGTTGTGGATACGTATTGCATTCCTATTGTCTTTATTTCTACTTTTTTGCAACCCCTTCCCTCCTGCCATAATTGTTGAGTAATAAAATTAAAATTTGAATCTTTTCTTCTATTTGAGCTGACACAAAAAGAGGGGATTTCACATTTGGTTTGAATGAATGTAATTTCGTATTTGTACTGAAATTGTTCAACTTTTTCATTTATTGTAGGCATGTGTTAAGAGGGTTGAAGGTGATAACAATGGCGAGAAGCATTGTACAGGCCAATACTTTGATTACATATCTTGTGTTGACAAATGCGTAAGTCTTCATTTTAATTCATTGTGCTGTATTAATTTTGTTCAGACTCATGTGTTGATCATTGCCTTATGGCGTGTAGGTTGCGCCGAAGTTATTTGGAGCACTCAAGTAGCTGAGTGGCAGTTTTAGGGTCTCGCATCCATTAATCGTTACTGTTTTACGGTGGATATTGTTTTTGAACTTGTGCCCTGATGTTCGTCGTTTTTGTTTTCAGCGACATGGTTAAGATGTTGTTGAGAGGTATTGAATTAGAATAAAAAGAAAAGGGTTTTTAACTCAAAGGTCCTCAAACTTATACCGGAGTTGTATTTTGATCCCTCAACTAAATTATTCGTTCAAATGGTCCACCAACTCTTTATTATTCGGTGCATTGGTCCTATTGTTACACTATTTCAATATTGCCGTTAATTTGAGGGTTAAAATTGTTAATTTATACTAGAATATTAATAAATTAATAAAAAATAAAAAAAATATTATAAAAATAAAAAAATAAAAAAAATAAAAAAATAAAAACTAAAATGCCCAATAATCATAAAAACAAAAACAAAAAAATAAATAAACCCACCATAACCCTCCCCACACCTCCATCCATGCAACCCACCCCCAATCTTTCTTCCTTTTTTCAACAATCAAACATAGCTAAATTCTCAAATTAAACAAACAAAAAAAAAACCAGTTAATAATTGGTTTTGTGATAATTTTTGAGGGAAGAAGTTTCAAATGAATTGCAAAACCATGATATTTGATAGACTGAGGTTTTTCATTTTTCATATCTGTGCTCAGGTTTGTTTTCTTTTATGCCCATGCCTTATTCACCATGAAATATTGGATGTCCTACTTTTGTGTTCGTATATGGTATTTAATTATTTAAGAGCTAATTGAGTCCATATATGGGTAAATTAATAGTCGAGCAAAGCTTGAAGCTTTGGGCGTGAGAATTCAGATGAAATGCCTTATCAATGTAAGGTGGTTGGGAATATATCTTTTAGCCTTGGAGGTCTAAAATCACTCTGCACATGAGTTGAGGTGCCATCAATCATTGAGTCCATATGCAGATATTTCCTTCTTTTTATCCCTAAAAAACATCAGATACTTCTGTACTTTTTTTCTTTGCTAACTGGTTCTGATTGGTTGGTGCCCTTGTTGTTGGGAGGGTTTTAGTAAATGGTGACCTGGAAATCACCCGTGAATGCACCCCTGGTTATTTTTCTCTCTGCCTTACTTTGTCGTTTTTGGGAAAAGGGTTTTGATTTTAATGCATGTTAAATGTGTGTGTCTGTGTTTTGAGTTTGAGTTCATCGTGAACTGGGTTTTGACGTTGATGGGTGTCCCTTTCTAGTCCTTTTAATCTACTGTGAGATAAGAGTTTGTATTGGTGTTGAGTTTTGCTTTGCAAGTTGTCCTTTGTATATATTTTTTTTCTGGTTATGTGTTTGAGTGTATGTTTTGTCTCCGTGAATGTCTTCTCCTGGACTGAGCTTGGCGATCATATATGTATGGTATTAAAACGTGGATGTTAAAATAGTATGTTTAATATAATTTCAATAATGTGCTCCCCACTCTACACCTGAGTTCGGATCCCCCTCCCGTAGTTTAGATTAAGTAGAGTGTTGTTTGTCTAGAATATATATATATATAATTCCAATAATGTTTATCAATATCTTACTTGAAAAAAAAATGTTTTCAAGAATTCAACCAAACAAGTTCTCAAATTTTTAAGATTTGAAAATAGTTTTCAAGTTGCATACCAAACAAGTGTTTGAATCTTAAAAAATGCATTGGAGAACTCCTTGTTTTTAAGAAAAATCAAAGTTTTTGAGTTCCCTGCTTGAATAGGATACCAAACGCCTAACGTTGGCAATCATCATAGTTAAAGTAGCTAAATTTTCCAAATTTCCAACGTTGGAAAATTTAGCCACTTTAACTATGATGAAAAGTTAGCAACGTTTGAAGTACTTTATCTTGTTAACCTTCATTTGCACCACTTTGGTTATCTGGTTTATCTTATCTGTCTTTCATTTTAACTGTCCAATTTTCTAATTTTAATTGTTTTCCACATCACTTTGTGTGCTTGGGACATGTATTAATTTTTCTACATTTTTCTTTAGTTTGTTGCTTAGATGTTGAAGTTGCATGTAGAAGAGAAAAATGGTTGTTACAATGCACTTTCGGAACCCAAGACTTGTTCAATACTTCGTTCGGAACTTTTCTCTGTGGTCAATGAAGAAGGATCCATATCTTGAATCAGCTTTGTCTAAGAATCGCCGATGGATAGTGAATAATCAAATAAAAAACATCATCCTGAGGTGCCCTGATCAAGTAGCAACAGTGAGATTCATTCAGAAGAAGTTCAAGACCCTTGATCTCCAAGGAAAGGCTCTCAATTGGCTCAAAAAGTACCCATGCTGCTTTCAAGTCTATTTGCAGGGTGATAAGTATTACTGCCAGCTAACAAAACGAATGATGGGTTTGGTGGAAGAGGAAGAATCTGTTAAAGATATGCAGGAACCTGTGTTTGTTGAGAGATTAGCAAAGTTACTTATGATGAGCTCCAATAAAAGACTAAATGTTGTCAAGCTTAATGAACTAAAGCGGAACTTAGGTTTTCCGGATGACTATTTGATTAGACTTGTGCCAAAGTATTCTGATATGTTTCAGATTGTTAATTATAGTGGGCGGCGGAGTTCCATGGAGATTGAGCTGGTCTCTTGGAATCCAGATTTAGCAGTTTCTGCTATTGAAGCTTCAGCTCACAAGCAAGGAACTGAGCCATGTTTTACATGCTCATTGCCTTCAACTTGGGTCAAGTCATGGGAAAGATTTCATGAATTTAATGCGACTCCTTATATTTCACCCTACTTGGACTCCAAAGGCTTAGTGGAGGGATCAAAGGAGATGGAGAAGAGGACGGTGGGTTTGGTGCATGAGTTGTTGTCATTGACTCTATGGAAGAAAGCATCAATTTCAAAGCTGGGACATTTTCAGAGAGAATTTGTTTTGCCAGAGAGATTGAACGTTTTGCTGCTTAAGCACCCTGGCATATTCTATGTCTCAAATAAGTATCAGATCTATACTGTCGTTCTTAGAGAAGGTTATAATGGGCAAGGACTGGTAGATAAGGATCCACTTGTTGTTGTGAAGGAAAAATTTGGAGAACTTATGCAGGAGGGGCTTCATGAATATAACCGCAGGCGCCATTTGGTAAATCTAGAAAAGAAGAAAAAGAAAGGCATGGTTTTGGGTAGACCAAATGAAGGCAAGGACAGGAGCTCTGAGATGTCTGACCCAGATGATCAGGGAGATAGAGGAGGATTGTTTGACCCAGAAGAAAGAAAGCGATTCTATAAGGTTCTCTTTGATGATGGTGCCCCATAAAAGGAGGTTGATGCGGTGGTGGTTGAAGCCTTCTGCCAGAACAATATCTTTAAGCAAGGAAGGACCACTTGGGCCTGACTCTGCACTGCCTCCAGTCAGCAATCTTAGCTCCACAAAGCCATCACTGCCCTTGGCTGTTTCACACTCCTGTCTTTACTGTGGAAATTGGAAATCAGATGCCATAGGGTCAAGCCATCATGGTGAAATGGGTCAAGTGGGTAACCAGGGGCTGTCCTGGAAGCTCTGTCTTATTACCTGGAGCAGACCTGCTCTCCGGCTTTTAGATGGATGGGTGACTTGCAATTTGGACATGGTCTCATAGATGATGTAATACGCCTGGGAAGAGGGAAGTGAAATCCGAGAAATCATGAAAGTCGAGAAGAAGGGTTTGTGATCTGCAGAGGATGGTTCAGGCTGGGGAAAGGGATGTGAAACTCGAGAAATCATGAAAGTCAAGAAGAGTTGAAATGAGGAGTAAGCCCAAGATGGCTGAGAGGAAAATTTATTTCATCATGTTCGGTCTACGAGCAGCAACCCGGGGAAGCATGGTCTTCCTTAGTGGCCATGGTAAGGGCAGAGAAGAGTTAGCTTTGAATTATGAAGCTGCTTCAAGGCCTGGGAAAGTGGACAACAAAGCAGAAATGAGGGGCGAGGTTTTGATGCAGGAAATCAAATGCAACAGAACTGTAATTTTTTAGTTGTTGTAATGGAACTCTTTTTCCTTTTTGAGTATTGTATTATTTACTTGTCTGAAATTCTTCGCATTTGACGAGTTATTGAAATTAACAGGCCACAAATAATTTGTGTTCATGATCAAAATTCTTCATTTTCACTGAGCATGCCAAATTACCGAGCCACTATTACCTTTGTTATTTCATCAACTTTAATAAATAAAACAATTTGTAGGAGCTAAAACTCTTACGAACAGTCTCACAGTTCTACAATAAACATCATCATTTTGTGACCTCTAGAAGTTTAAATATATATATACTAGCCCCTTGGCATGCAAATTGGTTTTCTTTTTTCTTTTTTCTTTTCTTTTTAGAATTAAGAAAATATAACATTGGTAGTTATGTTCCATAAAAGTAGGACCTATTATCTGATTTTGTTTTTATTTTTATTTTTTTTAATATGAAAAAAATTTGAATTTACCATATTATCGTCATTTAATTAATAATTTCAATTTTTAATGTTTGAATTAACCTAGGGCATATATAGATCTATATATATAAAGCAAAAGGCAGAGAATGGTGAAACATTCAAAATACCAAAAAATGCCATAGGTTAATTCAAACATTAAAAATTGAAATTATTAATTAAATGAGGATAATATGGTAAATTCACACTTTTTCGTATAAAAAAAAATTAAAATTAAAAGAAAAGTCAGATAATGAATCCTATTTTTATGGAACACAATTACCCATTATCTTTTTTAATTCTAAAATAAATTTAAATTTTTTTACAAAAACCTCTCGCAGGTGCGGAAACACGTGCGGAGAGTCTAGTATAATGATAAAATAACAAATGTTGTGTAAGAGCATGATTGGTAAATCGTAGTGTACGTCTGGACCCAAGCCCAAAAGCAAAAAAAACTTGATTTTGTCTATACTTGATCTGTCTTGAGAGACCCATTCAACAGCTCCACAATCTGAGGTCCGGTCCACCATCATAATCGTACTTGTTCCAAACTTCCAAGTTCCCCATTTCCACTCTCTCTCTCTCTCTCTCTCTTTCTTTTCTGCAACTCAGGAGCTGATCTTTCTCTTCGAATCAGAAGGTACCCTTCTTCTTTTTCGCCTCCAAAAATCAAACTAAATTTTCAATTTTTTTTATCGATTTTATTTATTTATATTTCTGTGCAGGAAATTGAAGAGCTTTTTGATTCATTTCTATGTGAGTATCTCTGGGTTTATTAATCTTTGCGGGTTTTCCGATTTTGCTTTTTCACATGAATGTTAGGCATGGAGAAATTGAAATGTCGACACGAACATTGTGTATCAAGGGGTCAAAACTCCAAATTTTCATATTAATTTTCTCTTTCTCTTTGGATTGAAACCTAAAGC